ATATATATATATACACATACATTTTCTTTTTTCTTCAACAATGATGGGGAGGCAGGGATGGTGATGACTGGAATTGGGAGGCAGTTTGGTAGGAGAGACTTAGCTTCACAGAGGGGCAGAAGACAAGGGCACAATTTGGGAGCAAAGCCAGATGAAGTCCTCGTCCCTGGGCGTTTGCTGTCTTCTCTCCAAACCGGTCCTGCTCCATGCCTGGGATGTAGAAGGCGGCCACGATGCCAACACTCACAAAACCAGCACTATGATCCTTCCTGCTGGCCTCCACTTCCTGTTCTGGCTACTGACCTACTGCTCTTCTCACACCCACAAGGCATCTGCCATCACCAGAGGACAAACATACTCTAAGACTCATCTGCAGCCCTGGGTGCCGCATGTGTTTGACAGATAGAAGCCTCTCACTCGGAGCTCCCAAGAATGTTCCAGAAGTCTACGTGGAGGCTCTGAGGCCTGATGGTTGTACTCTTAGGGCTGGGATAGAAGCCTCACGCCCTCACTCACTAGCTTTGGAGCTTGGGTGGGGTCATTTATACTCTAAGCCAGATGTGCTGAGGATGGACAATAGGAATAGTAATAACTCTTAACAACAGCAAAAACCACATCATAGGACTCTTGCCTATATCAAGTGCTGAGGAGGTCATGTGCCACGGGAAGCTGCCAAGAAACTGTAGTTGTTGTTACTACCACAACCAAGTCACCATGACAGCCTGGCTGGAAGGAACTACAGAAGCCTTAATTTGGCAAATAGTTGGAAAAGTATCTGTCCATGAGCAATACACACACCCATTGTGATGTATTTCTGCAGCTACAAAATGGAGACAGGAATGAGGAAAAGTCCAGAAGGGATTTCTGGAAGCACTGATTCCATCCAACTCCTTAAGAAGAGGAGCTCTTGCTGGGTGTGGTGGCGCATGCCTGTAATCTCTGCACTCTGGGAGGCTGAAGCAGGAAGATCACAAGTTTGAGCTCAACTTGGGCAACTCAGCAATTTATGTGAGACTCTGTCTCAAAAATAATAAAAGGGCTGTAGATGTAGCTCAGTGCAAGGCCCAGGCTTGGTCTGTGGTAGTTTTTCATGCAACACTCTGCATCTCAGGAGGGAGAAAGGCTTCCTCTAGATCAGGGCCACAAAAACAAGAAATTAACAGGAGCCCTTTCATGCGTTCACTGTGGTCATACACAGAACAGCTCTAGTGGAAGTCCACAGTCTGCACAAACAAGAAAGAAGTTGAACCCAAACAGAAATCTCCATGGAAATGCCTCTTGTCAGCAAACTTGTGACAGGATGACTGTTACACGGTGGCTCAGGAATCCCCACACCATGTCGCCCCGAAGTGTCACATTTAAGGGAGGTGGCAGGACTCATCCCCTCAGGTGTTTGTGTTGCTGGAGTTTTCATTCATTTCTTAAGAGTTTTAAAGCTCGTTGAATTTTCACACATTTCCCTCGCTTGCGACAAGACCCTGAGCTCATGGAGGCCAGGAACTGCTTCAACACTGCGTCCTCAGCCTCCTGGGTGCCTACTCATTCGCTGAATTCATGGAGCAGAAACCAGCCCCCATTTTCTATTACTGTACTAAGCCCAGGTGGGGTGCGCAGTGCAGAGCCCACAAACGTCAGTGGATGGAGCAGCCCAAGCCAATGCAAAGGGGATAAGGGAACAACTCTTCTAACAAAAATATCTCCAAAAAATCTTTGTATCAACCATAAAGTAAAATTTGCATGAATACTGAATTAAAATATGCAATGGACTTAGAACAGTGATTAATAAATACCAATCTCCACAAGTTATGATAAAGCCTTATGCAGGTCCCTGAGCATTCAAAAGTCTTCAGACTGACTGAATCGTCATGGTGACTGGGATGGATTTATATATAATTTTAATGTTCTCAGGTCTTTTAGACTATCAGGCCTCAATGACACAAGCACATTTAAGAGATGTAGCTGTCATCAGAAGACCTAAAGACAGATAGACATATACAGCAGGTGCTCAGAAAATGTGTGTTACACTTGGATCTACACTTTGCCTCGTCAGACTCATGTGCCCTGCATTTCTGGAAATGTGGAGAGAACCTTTCAAGGTGGCAATTCTTACCGTGGTCCAACTAATGGCTACCACTTTTCTAGCCTTTGGCACGAGTTTCATGATGCTAGAGAGGAGTGGATTGGGTGGGTGGCTGATGTAAAGCAACTCCAGAGGCTGTGTGCTTTCACAACTGCCTTACCTGAAGAGTAGGAGGATGCTCGGCTGCTTGGAGAACAGGGGACCTGCAACCCGGCAAATCCCAGGCATCTCTGGGATCCCCTGTCAGAGTCAAAGCTTGTCTGTGGGCTGTGGCCCTGATCTTTATGCCCAGAGGCCCGCTGGTACCAGCCACGCAGGTGCTCTGCAACTAAGGCCTTGTGGATGTTTTTGGTGATGTGCTCAGATTTCACAGCAGCCTTCCTGGGCAGCCGTAGAGTTGCATATGGGTTGTGGGGCACTCGGTCCACCTCATCTTCATGGAAGGATCTGCTGTAGTCCCTTGGGCGGTCGTATCCATAGTGGGTGGAGGATCGGTAGGAAGGATTGACACTGTACTGTCCCTCGGTGTCATTCTCATAGACGTAGCCACCGCTGTAATACAGGTCACACTCTGCGTAGGGCGCATACTCAGAGACATAGTAACTGTAAGAAGGCGGCTCCTGACTCTTCGGGTAGACCCCGTTCCTCATGTTGTCCTTCTGGGCCAGGTTGGGCATGCTTCCTGAACTGGAAGCAGCAACGTTCTGTTTCCTTGACCTTCTCCGGCCCCTGGCACGCGTGTCCAGAGTCTGGGTGGTGTAACAGGGTGCAGCAGCAGCAGCAGGTGTCACATAGTAGCACTCTGTGCTTGACTGGCTAGTGTAGGAAGACCCATCATCCAAGACCTCAGTGCTGCTGCTTCTTTGGGACTTGGAGAGGGAAAAAAATGGCTTCTCGTCCATCTCGGAGAGCAGGTGGGACTGGGACTCAAGGCTCCCACTCCGCTGTCGGCAGTGCTGAGATGCAGAGTCAGGTCTGCAAGAAGAGAAAGGCAAATGTGTGCATGAAAAGAGGGAAAGGAGGAGCCCGCAGCAGGGCAAGAAGTCCCTGTCAAATGGTTTTATGGCTGCTAACTTGCAAGAGGATATCTTAAAGTTTCCAGGGCTGACAGCGCAACGGATCCCCTGGGTCCAAATAACACGCGAGAGGCCTCTGAGTTACACAGCCAAGAGGAGAAAGATCGAGGTGCTCTCAGGCAAATCACTCCTCCAGGGCAGGGGAGATATCAATGGTCTGTGGAGGTTCGTCTCTTTTAACAGAATATTACGGTAAATTAGGCTGAGTGGTGGCAGCACTGCAGGATGGAGTAGTGTGTGGACCCTGGAGCCAGAGATACCTCCATGAACCACGGCTCTGCCATTGTGCAGGCGTCTGATCTGGGGCGAGATTTCTCGTCCGTTCGTTCATTTGTTCATTCAGTGGTGGTGGTGATCAAACTCAAGGCCTTGGCACTGGGCTACATCCCCAGCCCTTATTTATTTATTTGTTTGTTTATCTAGTTGGTACGGGGAATCGAACTCGGGACCTTGCACTTCTGAGGCAGGTGGTGACACCACTGAGCTAAATCCCTGGCCCTATTTATTTTTTTGAGACAGGGTCTTGCTAAGTGGCTAACGTGCCCCAACTAGGACAGAATTTGCAATCTTCCTGCCTCAGCCTCCCAGGGTGCTAGAGTTACAGCCATGTATTACCACATCCATTTTGGGTTTTTTTGAGAGGATCTCACCATGTAGTCCAACGTTGCCTTGAATTTGGTATTTAGTCCAGGCTGATGCCAAATTTGTAATCCACCTGCCTCCGCCTCCCAAGTGCTGGGATTATAGGTGTCAGTCACCATGCCCAGTTTAAGGCAAGATATCCAACCTCTCTTAATCTTGCTTCCTTCTTCGTAAAATGAGACAAAAACAGTACGTGCCTAATAACCACTTCACAATAGGCTTGTTACAGGGACTGAACAGCATAGCGTGTGTAAAACATTTAGCACAGCACTCGGCAAACACATAAAAGACTGCTGTCGCTATTCTCTTCATCCTCACCATTGAATAATGAGGAGTAATACTATCTAGTCGGAGAAATTACGAACAATCCAATGTATACCTAGACAAACACATCTTTTCTTTGCTGATCTATTTGAAACTGTACATAAGCAGAAATGTGTAATAATAAACAGGGCCCTGTTACCAAAAAAGTCACTTAGAATGACAAACAGAACAAAACAAAGCAAGAGAAACGCTCAAGGGTAAAATCGAGGGAGCCAAAGCAGAGGGTGGGAAGCTCTTACTCCAAGTGGCTGCTGCTGTAGGCATTGCGGGTGAGGACTGGGGTGGTGGGCATGCTCCGTCCGCCTTGGGGCCGTCTCTCCAGGGTTTTGTAAGGGCTGCTGTGTGTTGACAGCATTTCTCTGTGATGATTGAAAAAAAGGAATTCAAGAAACAGTAAGAATCCCAACACATCGGGCGACCTTGTCATCAGCCTATGCGAAGCTTACTGGAAGCTGACAGAAAGGCTGTGTAAGGAGAAAGCTGCAAAGGGAGTCTCCGTGGACTCGAATCCTGCTCTGTCCTGGAAGAGTTTTAGAGGAAGCACCTATTGACTCTCTAGGTCATAAACATGTAGGGAAAAAAATGGAAGGCTTTTACAAAAGAGTGAACTGAATAAATATTGCCGGCCGAAAGCAACTAGAGTAGGGGCAAGCAAAGCATTTTTAAAAAAATACTCTAATAGTAAATACGTTTGGCTTTGAGGGTCAGATGGTTCCTGTAGCTACTATTTATTTACTCTGTCCTTGTCATAGTACAAAAGCAGCCACAGTTAGATAACATGTAAGTGAACACGAGTGGCTACGTTCTAATAAAACTTTATTCCTGGATACCAAACTGTCAGTTTCATGTAATTCTTACATGTCATCAACATTATGGCTGTTGATTCCCCTCCCCAACTATTTAAAAAGTATAAAAACCAGTCTTAGGTCATGGATTGTACAAAAACTGGTGCCAGGATGGGTCTAGTCCTCGGACTGTTTGTTGGTCTGCTAGTCCCTGGACTAGCAAGATCCTTAAATCCTTTTGTCCATTTTCCAACACAATGAAAAGGCAACTTAATGTTAATTTTTAAAAATTAAAGTAACTTTCTAAGGGGCTGAGGGCCTAGCTTATGCTTAGTGAACAGGTGGCCTGGGGTCCATCCACAGCACAACCTCTTACCCCAAAATAAGCTTTTCCAAATAAAATTCTACTTATTACAAACATGAGTCAAATTTATTACAGAAAAGTTCAAAGATACAAATAAAAATTTAGGTGTTCATAATCTGATACCTCCGATATAGCCTCAGATATAACCCTAAATGTTTTCATATATTTTTGTAAGAATATATAGTGATAAACATCTATAGATTTTGTTTTAGGGGGGGACTGGGGATTGAACTCAGGACCTTGCACTTGCGAGGCAGGCATGAGCTAAAGCCCTGGCCCCCTCATCCATAGAGTTTTAATAATAAAAACTGTGATCTTACTGTATATATATTCCCTATCAATACTTTCTTTAAAAATGTGTATCTAATGTTTCATATTGCCTAATATTTGCCTGTAGTGTCATTTTAATGATACACATCATTCCACTCCACGGTTTTTAACTGTAATTTTTAAGTTGAGCGTTTAGGTCACTTTTGATTTGTCACAAGCATGAACAATGTTGTGAGGGGCGTCCTGAGGTTGAGCGATCAACTCAACAGTAAAGACTCCTACGAAAGAAACTGCTGGATCAAAGGGCAAATCCCTCTTCAGCTATGGGAGAAGTGGAATAGTCACTTTTAAGATACGGATTCCCATTTATGACTTTTCCTTTTGCTAAAACAGCATATTCATCAGGTGCTCTCTGATAGGACTCCCTGCTATGATTGAAACATCCCATTTCTCTGCTGCCCAGCATGACAGCCATGAGTCACAAGGGGTTCTTGAGCACTTGATAAGTGGCCAACACAACCGGGGAAATGAATTTTCAATTGGATTGACTTAATTAGATTGAATAACACAGTGCCAATCCCTTGGAGGGCCACTATTTCAGGCTAAAAGTCCCTAAGTGCTAATTCCTAAACCAGGCCTGGTAATGTGACAAAGTTTTCACTGTCTTTGCCATGTCAGAAAGATAAAATTACATGATATATTTTCATAAGTCAAAATTTATTCGATCTGACTAATCTTTTACTTTGAGATTAGTTTATTGGCTGACAGGCTAACATGTTGCCTTAACTCCCATCAGGACCCGAGGAATGTACCTCAGGGTAAATGTTTGGTAAATGAGAAACACAGAGAAGTTTTCCATGGTGTTTGGTCCTCAGTGTATTCACAGGAAAGGCAGAAGGAATGATGATCAGGGCCGTGGTGAGAATTAAATGTGGTAATACACATAGATACAATGCCCACAGCCTCCGGCACATAGTGAGCGGCCAACACATGTGAATTTCATCATGATGATACTGATGAAACTTAAATATCATTTATTTCATTGATTCATGGTATTACTGGTTTGCACACTGCAACTAGGCAAATTAAAGAGGTCTCATCTTATGTCCTAAATTTTAAAAAATTAGCAGAGATCCATGCAACCGAATTCTGAGAATACTGTTTTATTTGTTTGTTTGTTTTGGTATCGGGGCTTGAACCCAGGATGGTTCGCTATTCTTTTAAACCTGATCTCACTGTCCAGTTAATATGCACCTAAGTCATTCGAGGGGAGAAAAAAATGTGTTATCTATTTTACATACTACAAAATAAGTGTACCTGCAGACTCAGAAGTCAACCCTCTCATCGGTTTAGCAAACAAGTGTTTAATGATGGTTTCCATAGATCAAAGGTTATGAGACTGAATTCTGGACACTACATCTGAAATAGTCTGGATCCTGAATGTCCCCCAAGGCCCACATGTTAAGAGGCAGGGTCTCCAAACTGGCACTACTGGGAGGTGGTGGGACCTCCTGGAGGAATGTGGTGGGAGAAGTTGGGCCACTGGCGACCCGCCCTTGAAGGGGAGTCTGGGGTCCCGGCCTTTCCTCTCTTTCTGCTCTCAGCTCTTACATGCCCCCGTCACAGTGTTCTGCCTTGTCACAGGCCCAAAGGTGACAGTGCCAACACACCAGGGACTGAAACTGAAAAAATCTGTAACTGAGCCAAAGTAAGCATTCCTCCCCTATCAATTATTTTAGGTATTTTGGTATAGTGATGCAAAACTGGATAATACAATACCCAAACTCAGAAGATAATAATGTCCCTATAACCTTTTTTTTTTTTTTTTTTTGTACCGGGGGTCAAACTCGGGTCCTTGCACTGACAAGGCAGGTGGCAGAGCCACTGAGCTAAATCCCCGGCCCCATATAACCTAATTTAAATCAAACAGATTTTAAAGTCAGGGGAAGAGCCAAATACTTTTAAAAAGTATTTTTAAACATTTAAAAATATTTCTATTTGCTGTCAACCACAAATCTCTGGGGCAGTTCCTATGTCACAGATTTACAAAAGAACACCTTTTGAAAGAATAAAAATATGTCATCATTTTGCAGGGAAGATTTCCTCACTGTGAGGCATTCACCTTAGTAAGATGCATCTCACCTGGACTGCCTGGTATCCCCCAGCTGTTCATTGATGGATGACTTTCTGAAATGGATCCGCTCAATACCGAGAGACTTGGGGGGAAGAATTCTTGGAGAATGGGGTACTGAACTTGGTTGCTGCCCAGCAGGACTGAAGGCATCACTGGCTAAAATAAGTAAATGAATGGATGGATATAAACAGGGGTAAATAAATAAGTACATTAAAACCTTGCCAATATCTCGAAAAAGAAACGGGAGGATCTCATAAACAATGTGCTCTTCCAAAGATGATGTTTTCAGATACATATAAATTGCCAGAAATTAATATTTACATTTTATACACTAGATAAAGACATTACTGAATACACTCTCAGGGTTGGAAGAAGCTTTTGTCAATTCAACGGTAAGGAACTCAGCGGGGTAGAACAGGTGACGCTATCTTTTGAAATATTTATTAAAGAAAATCTTCAGAGTGCAAAGGGCCAAGCGTGAACAGGCAGACTGTTTCCGTCCACCTGTAAAGTTCTTAGACTTGTGTTCTACAGGCTCATCCTGCTTCTAAAAGTGATGAAACCAACTCACGCTGCAACCACTGCAGACTTCTTAGGTCCACCACTGACATCTGCATTTTCAAAGAGCAGCAGCAAGCAAACCAGGCCTCAGTGCAAAGGAAGAATTTTTAAATGGCAGAATTTTATGTGCCATAAAACTCAGGGGAAGATAAAGCAATGGAGGGTGGCAGTTTCCCGGAATTCTTTAAATTACATCAGATAGCTCACTTACTCGGCCGAATAGGTACCAAGGATTACAAGGAAATACTGAATCACTTGATGTGAAGCCCATTCCAAACACAAAATGGAACCTACCTATATGAACTGACAAATGACATGTAGCCCAGGCTTATAAAATGTGACTTCTTAGGGAAAATAAAATAAATTCCCACCTCTCCCTAAAACACTGATAATCAAAGTCTGTAGGATAGTTTCCTGGTTTTGATACTGGGCTCTTTAAATATGGAAAATATCACCACCAAGAAAAGTTAGGTGAAGGATTCTGTGTTACTAGTACAATTCTCTGAGTTTATGATTACTTTAAGAAGATTTCTGTTTAAAAAGCCAGGCATGATGACATATGCCTGTAACCCCCATGCTCTGGAAGGCTGAGACAAGAGGACCACAAGTTCAAGCCCAGCCTGAGCAACTTAGAAAGCACCTGTCTCAAAAAGAAAAAGAAGAAGAAAAAAATGGTCTTCAGATGCAGCTCAGTGAGAAGGCCCAATGCCCAGTACCGCAAAACAAAAAACAAACAAAAAAATTACAGGGCCTTAAATTCCTCACTGAGAGACTCATTTACGCTGTGGTTTTCTGACTCTCTGAAATGATGTAATTTGGCTGGACTTAAACTGAGGGGTTTGTAAACTATTTACCTCCTTTCCCAAACATTTCACATAAGTAAAAGTTAGTCAATTCTGCTTTACCCAAAAGAAAACAAATAGGCTATACTTAAAGTATTATCTTAGTATTTCAGCATACTCAAAATTTTTACATCAAAAAAGAAGTTGCCACTTACCATCATCATAGGCGGTGTCAGACAAGGAGCTACTCTCTGAGGGAATGATGTCTTCTGTGAATAAAAATAACTGCTTTAGTATAATTGTGCATTTATATAATTACAGTGAGTTCAATGAAGCAATTTCGATAGAGTGTGTTTTATTTTCATTTAGATAAATATAATTATAGTACATTAAGAATAATAAACTGTTGTAAGGGTTGACTCATTTGCCACGGAAGGCAGAAACATCTTACGTATCATACACACATTAAAGTGCATTACAGTGGTCCCTCGATATCTGAGGGAGATAGATCCCAGAGCTCCTCCAAGGATGTCCAGCTACCTTACATAAAACAGCATTTGCACATTCCTGTATATCTTAAAGATTTCTAGACTACTTATAACATCTAATACTATGGATATGGTGTCTAACTACTTGTTACTCTGGTTGTTTCGAGAATAATGACAAGAAAAAAAAAAGTCTGATGAGGCAAGTTTCTTTCTTTTTCCCAAATATTTTTGACTTGAAGTTGTTAAATCTGCAGATGTGGAAGGTGAGGATACCGAGAGCTAACTCTCTCCTCCTCCTCCTCCTCTCCTGTCTTCCCCTTCTTCTTCCCCTTCCTCCTCTTCTTCCTCTTCTTCCTCTTCCTCTTTCTTTTCTCTTCTCTTTCCTTCTCCTTCTCCTTCTTCTTTGTTACCAGGGATCAAACTCAGGACCTTCCACTTGTAAAGCAGGCACAAAGGAACTGAGCTAAATCCCTGGCCTGGGCTAACTGTATTCTTAAAATGGAAGAAGAGACAGCCTAGGGATTCTGATTCCAACTACTTTGCAGAGTTCCTGCTACCTAGAAAGAAAACTTTGCCCTCTATATTTAGTGCTTACAGCCAACAAACTGGAAAGAAAAATCAAACCATTCTTGACATAAATGCAAAATGTTACAAGAAACTCATTTGGACCCTCATTTGAGAATCAACTGAGTATACCTTATCTTTGATCCCCGCCGCCCAGATAAAAGGGCTTTACCTTAATGGCATGTACTTACTTTGTGGTATCTGAGCCTTCTAGGGAGACCAGGCTTTCTTAATAGTGGCACAACTGGCCCTCGGGAATAATTCTTTATTTTGGGGAGCTGTCTTATACACTACAGGATCAGCAGTAATCCCGCCCTCAATGTTTACAACCTGAAATGTCTACAAATACTGTCAAATATTTCTGGAGAACAAAACTGACCCTTGTTGAGAACCACTGAATAGGAAGACTCGGGTTTAGATATTCGTTTTAGCCAGGCACTGTGGTGCACACCTATAGTCCCAGCCACTCAGGAGGCCAAGGTAGGATGATTTCAAGTTCATGTCCAGCCTGGGCAAATCAGTGACACCTTGACTCAAAATAAATAATAAAACAGGCTGGAAATGTAGCTAAATGGTAAAGAATTTGCCTAGCAGGTGCAAGGGCTTGGATGTGCAGAAAGGAGGGTGGCTAAGTTTTGTTATTTATTAGCTGTGAAGATGCTGGACAAATTACTTCACCTAAGCCTCATCTGGCTCTGCTCTAAAATGGGGGTTACAACAGCACCGATCAGAGAGTGCTGAGGCAAAGTGTTAAATGAAATAACGATGTGAAAAACTTGGCCCAGAGGCTCACACGTGACAAATGCTCAATAAATATTACCAATACCCTCACTTTTGTGACCAACACTTACTGTTCCAGCTAGAAATGACATCTACAATGCTCTGAGTATTACTGGTGACTACCAACTCTTAAAGAATGTATGTAGTAAAAAGTGTCATCTCAGATGTGTTGACAGGTTTTCGCAAATCCTTCCGTACTTGGTGTTGAAGGTTTTTGGCCAAACATGACATCCCAGCCATTATGAGGGGACTCTCTCTGTTCCATCTCAAATGGTGTCAGACCACCTCTTAATTAGACACAGAATGGAGGCCAAAGGCGAGGTGCCACTGTCGTCAGCTGTTGGGCACCCTTAAAAAAACCTGCCCAATATCTGCTCACACAGAGGCACCATCTGCTATCCAAATGTCAGTCTCTGAAAAGGAGAGCACTAGAATCTCGCCACAGCTGAAGGATGAATGAGCTGTAACAAATCTGTGAACGTTAAGTGCACTGTTAATCACTCATCTCTATCAGTTGAGAATGTAACTATTGCCAGGGCCAGCTGGGTTGCACATTTAGAGCCAAAGCCACCCAAAATTCTCCAGCTGTAGTTGACTAACACTTATGTGTGAATGTCGTATTACTGAATTACAGATCCTGTGCTCTAAGCCTGAGTACATTCTAAACCCAGTTACCGTATTTCATGTAATTAGTTTATGCTGCAGCAGAAAAAAGAAAAGTACTGCCAACTGTGATTGTAACACACCATCCAGAACAAGAATTATCTCAATTTTACAAATGTTAAAATGTGAAGGAAAAAAAATGAAATCTTTGAATCAAAAAATATAATCACATTTTAATCAATAATGAAGGCTAAAAATCATGGCAATATTCAGGGAAGGCAAACTACACTTAAATTCTCCCTAAATGAAATTTCTTGGCTTCCTTTTTTCCTGAACATAAAAATTATGGCTAAATGACATGGAGAACCTAGAAAATACAGAGGGGTATTAAGTAAATTAAGTTACTTAAACTCGATAGCTATTAGTGTTTTAAATGCTTCTCGAAGTTGGGTTACACTGTGGTTACAATGCTTTCTGCAGTCCGTGTTGTATCATGATCATTTATCCATAGCTTTAAACAGCCTTCTTGAATGACAGTGATTACAACAGATTATCCCTGTCGACACGGAAGGGTAAGTCCTTAGTCTCCTCTATCTACACAGGGATAAACTCTTATGAAAATGCATGCTGTGTTAAAAACTGTTATGAACTGTTGGAGAAGGCTCAGCTCTCAATACGCAGTATTATCAACAGTATATTTGGCAATGACTTCAGCCTAGTTTAAGCTGAATTTGTCTGATTATGTACCATGATTGCTGTGAAAACGCTTCCACCCTGAAAATTAAAGTAACTCGAGAGTGTGCTATTACAATAGTGAAGCTGCTAATTAAATTTACATACTTACAAGACTGAAATTCCAAACCATTATTACCCTAAGAAACTTTCCATCCTATCGTCTATCTCGCACCAAATGAGCAGGCTTAGAAATATACATCATCAAGAGTACTGACAATGGGACTCAAAACTTTTTCACTTTTTACTAATTTGGTAAAATACCTGTTGCTTTCTGGCTGGGTTTCTTCCCACATCGAATTCGGTATTCATTTATTGCATTTTCAATTTCCTGGAGCTTTTTCATTGCATCCACGTAATCTTGCTTTCGTTTTTTCTTCACGGTTTTGCAAAGGTCCGGCTCACTGGCAAGTTTCTTTGCAGCTTCAACCAGCTTTTGCTGTATTAGAAAATTGCTCTCCAGTTCTTGTAAAGCCGGATCCTGCATTTATACAATGATATTATTTTACTGTAATGGACACAAGTACAGTCACTCTATCAGGTACTGGATAACAACATTTCTTGTGTATTCTTGAATCAGATGTTCTTTGAGAATAAAGTCTTTTTAAATTCTAATGCAGTGATAACCCAAACAGCTATTTTTTTTTTTTTTTTTTTTTTTTGGTACCAGGGATTGAACTCAGGACCTTCCGCTTTTGAGGTAGGTGGCGGCACCACTGAGCTAAATTCCTGGCCCAAAACAAACACTTTTTAAGCAGACAAGATAGCCCTTATCCAACTTGAACTTTTCATTACCCCAGTCTCTTCCCTTCTTGTGGAAAAAAATGACCCTTCATCTATGCAGTTAGCTGCCTACAGATCATAGTTTTCAGGGACAGATTCTCAAGGCTCATGGGTACAGAACATATAAGCATAGCACTAGAAAGATAAATTTGGGTTTGATTCTTTCTGGTGGTTCACAGTTACATGACTCTGAATATACTACTTAATTTTTTACTGCTACAGCTTTTTCATTTGTAGAGGGAAGATAGCAACTGCCTGATTGCAGGTGCTAAAGATGACATGAGATTACTCACGTGCAGACAGGAACGTGATGGGCATCTAAATCAGTGACACTGGACCGACTTAGACACTGGTTCGTTCACAGCTAGGTGCACAGGTGAGCACTCAACATAACAAAGCTTAGGCCGGGCGTGGTGGTGCACAGCTGTAATCCTAGCACTCAGGAGGCTGAGGCAGGAGAATCGCTGTGTGTTCGAGACCAACCTGGGCTACATAGTGAGTTCCAGGTCAGTCTCAACTACATAGTGAGACCCTGTCTCAAAAAAAAAAAAAAAAAAAAAAAAAAAACCCATAACAAAGCTCACTATATTATGGGAGACACGGATATTGTTTTCTAAAGCCCAGAGAGTAACATTTCTACAAGAACCATGTGTAGACTCTCATTGGCTGAGTGGCTGTCAAAATTTTTAACGGAATTATACTAAATGGTGCGCATTACTATTGCATTTAATACTTATCACTTCCCTTGTAGGGAAATTACACTCTTACTCTCATTTTGCCAATGGAGAAACTGAAGCCTCGGAAGTGAGACTTCAGAGATTAAGCTGCCTGCGAAAGGCTACTGAGTTATAAGTAAACGAATTAGGCTAATGTTCTTCATTCTTTTTTTTTTTTTTCCTGGTACCGGGGATCAAACTCGGGTCCTTGCACTTGCAAGGCAGGCGGTGGAACGGCTGAGCTAACTCCCTGGCCCTGTTCTTCATTCTTATAATACTGCTTCTCAGTTTATAAACATTTAGGGTTCACTGAATGCTTTCTGCAGTTTGAGGGGTCAAATTTCTTGTGGTTCACAGAAAGGTTCAGAGCTGGCACTCCTACCTCTTCGCTGCGCAGCAAGTTGTCGTCCAACTTGAATGCGGTACCCACGCGCCTCCTGACCTGAGGAGGCTTCTCGCCGATGCTCAGCGGGTACTCCTGCGGCATTTTACCTGTGAGCTCCTGTAACACAGCACAGGGTCAGGAGCTCGTAACTGACACAGGCCACAGCCCTCTGACACAAACTGAGGAGCCCCAGAAGTAAGGACACTCACAGCCTCACGCAGACAGATCTTCTTCAGCTCCTCGACCTTTTTAAGGAGTTTTTCTTGCAATACTTTCTCCTTTTTCTTGAGCTCCAGGATTTTCTCCCGCTTTTGCTCCTCGCTGACTTCTGAGTCTTGGGAACCTGTGGTGGGGGAGGGTGGGGAGGGTTACACAAAGCGCGCTTCCTTCCCTCGGGAAGGACAAAGGACTGTGAAGCCAAACCTGCTATTAAATGCTAGTTTACTTCTTTTCTCCTCGTTTCTGAAATAATAAAAGGAAACTAGAGAACATTTTTTTCATGCTTCTGGGCATCAAATAGAGGCTGGTAGGAAACGGAACCTTCCTTGTGCATTTTGGCTCGGTCACTTTAGAAGTGAGGATAAAATCCTTCACCCAAGGAAAAAGATGTTCTTTTTGTAAGCAGGGGGGAAAGCAAGATGTTCCCTGAGACAGTCATTTCAAATGTTCCTCAGGTAGATATGCAAGCAAGTCAAAGGAATGTGTTCTACACAAACGAAGATCGCGTGCTTCAGCTTTCTAAAGCAACAGTAAGATTTACATGGGACACATCATGAAATTTCTCAAGAATTCTAGAACGGCTGAGGGGCAGCGGTTACATTTGGCGGGGAGTCATGTAATCATCTTTGCATAGCACTTCATGTCCTACAGACGATTAGTCAGGTCAATGAAAAACTACGCACAGAAGAAGGTGACAGGATTTAAGGGGAGAAAACATCCTGCGAAGTCACCCTCAGGGACGCCCTACCTTGACATCTAATGTTGCGTAGACCTCTGGCTGTTTATAATTGAACTTTATATTCATTAATATTGTACTCAAAACTGTTGCACCCAGTAGGTTTTGACAGACTTTTTATTCCCAAAATGAGTTAAAATAATATATTTAAAATGACTTATTACAAAGAAGACATGGCTTGCGCTTTCTCTAATGCCGTGACGTTACCTGAGGATATTAAGCTGCCGTTGCTGGCCATGATGAACTGACCCTTGGCCTCCAGTGTCACCGACTTCGATGCCCGTCGTGTCCCTATGTCTGTCAGATCCATGGCAATGTCATCTAAACTCCTGGCTGATGGGATTTTTGCCTGTGAGGCAAACAATATTGAAATGGAACCAAGGCAATTAAAATACACCTTGCATTAATGGCACGATTAATAGTCAAATGACACTCCAGAAAAAAAAACCCATGAAATTTAAACTTTGCATCTAAGATGTTTTCATAATTACACAAAACTCTCAAGGCATGATTCAGTCCCTGACTTGAAAATGTCACCAATGTACCCATATGCATGCCGATCTTATAACTTTTAAATTAAAAAAAAAAATATATATATATATATATATTGCTTATCTCTTAAATGCATGAAAAAGTAAAATAGCTGCTAGTAAAGTTTTTAAAAAAAACCCTCAAAAACAAAACTTCATGTACTTGCATGTTTTCTGAAAAAGCTCATCTTCTGAAATAAAGCAAAAGCAGGACTGGAATTAGTTGGAGTAGAAATGCTCCCAGGGACTTACTTTGCTCTGCTTCCGGTCCAGGTAAAATTGGTGCTGGCTAATGGCCATCACCCAGATGGACTTGATGAGAGAAGAGTTTGCATACCAGGTTTGCACGAAGAGGCCGCTTTGCCCAAAGGTTCTCCGAGGCACCGAAATCCTGAAGGATTATGGGAAACACTTGAATTGCTCACCTTTGGTCCAGCCCAATGTGGTAACAAAGTACCTTCTTCCTGTCTTTCTGTTGTACAGGCTTAGGCTGATAGGGGCTGAGTTTCTGATTTTATTCTTTTATGATGGAACTACTCTGACCTATGCAATCTCTTTTTGTATAACAAGCACACTGAAAAACACTACGCGTGCAATGAAAAGCGGATAAGGAATCTGTCAAATGAAAAGCCACATAATAATATTTACTAGTTAGAAACCATAAAGATGTGCAGCCACCTTAAGTGGTAGAGAATAAAGGCCATGTTTTATTCATTTATTTGGTACTGGGGATTAAACTCAGGTCCTTGTGCTTACGAGGCAGGTGGCAGAACCACTGAGCTAAATCCCTGGCCCTAAAGGTCATGTTTTCAAAATGGAGTGACCAGGACCTGTGGGATGAGCACCTGCCTCAAAGTAAAGAAAGAGCATCTCAAGTCTGGGTAGATGTGGCCTGCACTGACGTTAGCAAAGATAAACACAACGATAGTGGCTGAAAAGACACAAACCCACAACTGGCCCAGAGGGTTACTTCTGCAGCAGCCAAAACGAGAAAACGGAGGGGGTGAAGGGAGGGCAGGGATAAGGGGAAAAAAATGAGGACCAAGACCTGTCGTGTAAAGGTACAAGATCCCAATGATGAATGTAACTGTACTGTGTACCTACAATGTACCAATAAACTCAATGAGGAAGAAAAGAAAAAAGAAAGAAAGAGAAGAGAAAAAAAGTGGGGAGTAAGAAAAAACAAGAGCCTGGGATAGGGAGAGAGGGGGACAGAGAGAGAGGGAGAATGATGAGGGATGGAGGCAGACAGACACTGTGGGGTGTGTGTGTGTGTGTGTGTGTGTGTGTGTGTGTAAGAGAGAGTGAGGGTACTAGTGTTCCTTGTAAGAATCTGGCATGTCTCCCTGGGTTATCTTTGGTCACAGCCATTTCCTCCCATCCCTCTGCCTGTCAAACATCTATAAACATTATCTGGGGACAAAACAGTAACCCCTGGGGACCGATTAAGTTCTTTTAAGAGCTCAGAGAACCTACATCCCGACCTGGAATCATGTTGATAGCCTGGCAACTGTTTTTCTGTCTTTTGAAGTGACCAGGAACACCAAAATTAGAACTAAGGAAGGAGCCCACTGTGGTGGTACAGGCCTAAATCCCAGCACTCTGGGAGGGTGAGCGAGGCAGGGGGGTCGCAAGTCCAAGGCCAGTTCGGGCAACGAAGACCCTGTCTCATAGAAGGGGTGGGGTGGGGGTGTTGCTCTGTGTGAAGGCCCTGGGTTCAATCCCCAGTCCAGGAAAAAACAAAACAAAACAAAAATACTAAAGGGATCTGAATTAGATACTTCTCCAAAGAAGTTATAGCAATGGCCAACAAGCCCATGAAAAGAAGCTTGGTCATCAATAGTCTTGAAGGAAATGCAGATCAAAAAACCAGGAAGAAACCACTTCACACCATTAGGATGGCTATAAAGCATGCATGAACACACACACACACACACACACACACACACACACACTAAAAACAAGTGTTAGCCAGGATGTGGAGAATTTAGAATCACACACATTGCTAGTGGAAATGAACCTCATGCTTTGGAAAAGTCTGACAGTTCCCTTAAAAGTTAAAGACAGAGCTACCATTTGGCTCTGAAATTCCACTCCTAAGTATGGTATAGACCTGAGAAATAACAGGATATATTCACACAAAAACCCATATACAAATTTCAAAAGAGTATTATTCATGAAGTGACTGGGACAGTGTGAAAACCTCTGATCATTACCTTCGTGGATCGTGAACTTCAACAGCAAATTTTTTCTCACGAAAATATAAATTCTCCAGTTGCTTCCATTGGAATAACTAAAATATTAAAGAAATGAGAAAAACCACATAGCTTTAATGACTCTTATTCCTACTAAGTCTATAAATCAGCTTAATAATCAAATGATTTGAAGTTCCCATGAAGGATAAGATTAACCGCAAAACATGATTCATCTTTTTTTTTTTTGGAACCGGGACCGAACTTCGGACCTTGCGAGGCAGGCAGCGGCACCACTGAGCTAAATCCCCGCCCCACGGTTCATCTTTTTACAGATCAACTAGGACCTGAAACCATTTTATCCCTTCTTTTGACAGTGATCGTCAACAATTAAACTTTGGCAATAAATCTTCCTTGAACAATAAAACCAAACATCTGCGAGAGAACATGCACAAGGTATTTCCTCTGACTCAACTGTATAATAAGGAAATCTGCATAGATTTCCAGTAAGTGCGCATTCCGCTCAAAGATGTTGATTTCGTATTTAAATGGAAAGAGGCTGTAAAGGATGTTGCCCCGAGAGAGATTAAATTTCAAACGAATGCAAAGTGAAAGTAAAAGAGAACCCCCACGTCGAGGTGATGATCTGGTGAAGATCTGACCCGGCAGCGGTTGCTCACCCAGCAAAGCTCCCCTAAATGTCACCGAAGTCAAGCACTTGGTGTCTAAGCTGAAGCCTCCAGACCCTGACCTGTATTCCTACTGCTGATATTCTGGTGCTGGACTCCATGTGGATTGTCATTTGGTTGGGAGAGACAAACTTCACCAGAAATGTGTTTGAAAGGCAAGTAATGTGGTAAAAAGAAGATTGCTCACAGAACTGAGAAGGCCGTGCTGCATTTTGGGGCTCATTCCCACACCTCATTCTCCGCCCCTTTACTCGCCTGAGCTTTACAAAGCTCTCAGCATGGACACTGCAGTCAGGGTCCCTTCTGGGTCCCCAGTCTTCACGATTAGGGAAATATGGACCAGCACAGTAGTTTCATTTCATTAAGTCTGGCCGGATTTTAAAATTACGTTCAAAGAATCTTAAAAGAACACTTTTGAATAGCTTAAATAATAAGAACTTGCCTGCCACGCACAATCAGCAAAAACATTTCGCGGAGGACAGGAACCAAGCAAGAATTCTCACAGACACACAAACCTCATGGAAAGGAACAGGGTAAGCTGAAGGCTACGGTGCAGACAGACATAGTCACGGGACAAAAGTGCTCAGGCTAGACCCCTGATGGCCCAGGGTCCCAAACTGGGACCAATCAGCCAATCAGCGCACACCCAGGACGCTGCCTTTCAAGGTCCGAGCACGTAGGAGATTGATTCAAAGAGGAATTAAGCAAAGTATAAAGCTACATACCGATCTCCTACAATGACTGTAGACTTGAGGCTTTCATCTCTTTAAATCCAGAAGTTCCAAACGTGGAACAGAAATGGGAGGGGAAAGTCTCAGGGTTCTCTCCCCCTCCCGGACAGCAGCTCCGGTGTGCTCTGAATCAAGTTTCATAAGACACCGAGGTGTAACTCAATTTCCCAAAGCCTCCCACGGCTGATACACCACTGACATCAGCAACTCTGGCGAGGGACACCTCCCCAGTCTGCTCCTTCCTATCGCCCAGGAGGGGAGGGCAAAGTTCTTGCTGATAGATTTTTCCCCCCGCAGAGAGACTTTTCTAAAGTGGGGCGCTGCGGGCCGGGCGACAGACTCCCAGTCCTTCCCGGGAAGTAAGTTACTCCGATCCAGGTACGAATTTCACCGGAGGCTGTTTTAGGGAAACCTTTTTACCCAGGTCTACTCACGGGCACAGGAACAGGTTTCACAGGAAGAGTCAGAATGCAGCTCAGCTGTGTTTTCCTTCTCGGCCATTCCCACACATATAAAAACCAGGGCTCCACTTGAAACCTGATCCCTGAAAGCTACCACCTCCCCCTCTTATCACTTACAAATAGGAAATACTAGTACTCTGGCTCCATTCCACATGCCCCTGTGCTGGGAGAAACCAGCATAGGGCAGGCAGGCAAAGACCCCTCTTAAAAGGTAGAGTTTTGACTTAAGAGAATTTGGGATAATACATGGCACCTGGATTTGCAAAAGAAGTTACAGATTTTTGCTTAGGTCTCAAACACATAGCCATTTGTTTTGCCACTTGAAATCTTAAAAGTATGCAAGATGTGATTTCAGGTTTGTGCCAGTAAAATTATGGACTGGAATGACCCAAACTGTATTCCCACACGGGTTACTTCTGGGGAGGAGCACAATGTATGAGGAGCAGAACAGAATGCGTCAGTGTCACCAGAAGTATTGTTTTTATTAATAAAAATAAAGTAAATATGACCAAACAGTGCTAACTTGACCAAGGAGTAGTCAATTTCATAGTGGTTTTGATCCATATTATCATATTCTTTGTGCTTGTCTGTGTTTATTACTCAAAATTAATGTAAGTTTATACAAAATGAACATAAATTGGCTTATTTCACACAAGGTGAGGTTTCCCACCTTAACAGTTTGGGAGGGTCCTTTAATATTTCATGATTATCATTACGATTTGTGAGTGTGAAGAGGGTGTGCTGGGAATCGAACCCAGGACCTTCATACTGAGCTATATCCCCAGCTTCTTAAAATTCTTTATTTTGAGATAAGGTTTCATGAAATTTCCCAGGCTGGGCTGGAACGTGTGATCCTCCTGGTCAGCCTGCCAGAGTACTGGGATTATAAGGCATGTGCTACCACCCTCTGTATTACCACTGTGATTTTGATCTATGTCTGCAATTACTACAAAAATCCCTCTAATTGTAGCAACACTTGATCTAGCTGGATACAGTTCTGAAATTGGCAATGAAACAGAGGTAAAGTGAACTTGTCCCCTAAAAGATCCCAGGGTCCTGGATGTGAACAGAACAGGCAAGTGAAGAACATCCCTTCCCTTCTGCCAGTGGTGAATTGAAAGGAAAAAACAAGGGGTCCCCTCAGGTCAAAAATCGGAGATTTCAGACCAATGAAAAGGGAAAGAAAATTGGTTAAAGAAACAGCCACCATGAAATTGGACTTGTGGAAACCTCTGCATTAGAGAAACTGCCTGTCATACAACAAATACTCTAAATCGCTGGTAAGATAAAAGTTGCAAGAAAACATTCTGCATTTGAGGAAAGATATAAAGTACAAAGGAATATGGAAGGAAGCAAAATACAGTTCACATTTTCTATTATTTGGAGAACAGTCAGACAGTGTAGGAATATTACAGGGACAGTGTGGACTAGAATATTTTATATATGCCTGTGTATATCTAAAATATATACAATATACTTCTAATATTCCTATTAAAACAGAAAAAAATTGAGCCAAAATTCCTACTTTTTCTTTTTTTTTTTTTTGAGACAGGGTCTCATTATGTAGTTGAGACTTATCTGGAACTCGCTATGTAGCCCAGGCTGGTCTTGAGCTCACAGTGATCCTCCTGCCTCAGCCTCCGAGTGCTGGGGTTATAGGCGTGCGCCACCAATGGCTGTTTGTTTCTGATGGGGATTAAACCCAGATAGTATTGATCTACATCTCTGGCCTCTTTTTATTCTGAAACAGAATCTCAGTTGTCTGGGCTGTCTTCAAACTTCATGATCCTTGCCTCAGCCTCTCAAGTAGCCAAAATACCCTCCTAAAGACTGAGGGGGCGGATTATTTGCCTTTCAACTAAGAGTCTGAATCAGAAAAGCTTTGTCATATGGTCATTATAGAAGCAGGATAATAATCAATCCTGGCTCTTGTGTACTCCCTAGAAGGTGCGAGGATGAAAATCCATTGCTGGTAGTGACAGAAAGGGGAACAGTTATAAGGTGAAAACGTATAAGGACTTCCAGGTTGTTCTCTCCTCTACACCCATTTGGAATGCTTAGTTGTACCCTGCTGTATGAGCAGAAGGTAGTAGATGGCAGGCAATACATAGTAAATAGCAATTTGGGACTACTTTGATATAGCAAAAGTAAACAGACAAAATAGTGAAAGAGGAGCAATACGATTAATGCTAACAAGAGATAATCAAGAAATCTCAACAGGAAGTGAACATATCTTAAGGTTATTGATCATCCTGCCTTCAAAAAATTTAAAACTGACACAGAAAACCAAGGCGGAATCAAACCCTATTTTGAAAATGTGCTTGGGTAAGACATTGTAATCAGAAGAAATTTTCTACATCCTTAGAGGTAAAAACCAATTAACGTTTTTAGAATAATTTGCCACACATTATAATTTATTAAATGAAATAAATATGCTAAATATCCAAGCGATTTCATGGCTAAGGTCGACTCAATTTTTTTTCACTTGTTTTGACTTAAAAACTAGGAGAAAATCTCTCCCTATCCCCATTCTATTATTATAATAGTTCCTGAATATTTAAGGCTATTGTCAAACCTAAGGGATGAAAAATAAATAAATAAAAAGACCATAGGAAAAGCCAAGGAACTCTTAGGAAATGGTAGCAGGTACATTGGTGACTTTTAGAATTGTTCCTTTCAATGAACAATATTTAGAGCACTTTCCAAGGTGAGATCCTGTCCGTACCGCTGAGTAATGAACAGGTTTCTTCCCTGGTGGGGCCCATGTGACCCAGGGCCCCACATGAGACTGGCTAGGTTTGCACCTTGTTTTATCACTTGTAGTTGCGCTGTTTGGCAAGTTGTTTAACCTCCCTGAGCCTCCACTACCTCATCTGTAAAATGGGCCAACAAGACCCACCTCGGTGCTGGTCAGACACTCAGTGAGATTCTCTTTGTAAAACTCTGGGACCGGTTCCTGGCTCAAAACACACTCTCTCGAGGTGGTAAAGCTGGTTGTGTTTGGGAGAAAGGATTCCGTCCACGCCTCTTAATTTATCACAAGGAGGACGCCACTGGACAGCAGATACAGAGCTCCAAATGGCTACCTGGGACTGCGCACTGTCTCCACACTGATGAGAAGCAGCTGAGTTATAATGTTGACCTAGCTGTGTCACTCAACCTTCCCATTCTGGGAGTTTCGGGCTCTGTACCAGCCCAGTGCTGTATCTGTTGATTTCAT